CAATCCTTTCGCATTAATGTTTTTGTGTGCAATGCTTTTGGCCCACAATTTACTGTACATTGCTATCAAACCTCACACACAAAAAGTCCATTTATTCTCTCCCTCTTTATTAAAGTCATTATTCTTAGTGATTAAACGCATAGAAAATAGTAATTTATGTGTGTTTTTCGGTTATTATTCATGTTTTCATACATTCTATTAGATTAATAGTTATCACACAGAATGAGCCCAAGATTTGCGAATATACTGTATGGCAAATGCTTACAAATGATTTAGTTTAGATTAGTATGCTTTATGATGGTATTAATGAGCCGGCAACATCTTATTATATTGTAATAGCATGGTCGTTAATTGCTTTCATTTAATTTGATAATAAATTATTAGAATAATGATCAAATCAAATTCTTTATTTCATAAGTTTTATCATTATGGAAAGTGTATTGTAATATTCAATGGACCCTTATTGACACAGTACGTGTACAATATTTGACTTGTTAGGGATAATAGCTGTGGTTTCCCAAAATTATGAGTATCTCTTATCAGTTTGACATGTGGTTACCTATTGTTTCAAATATTATTCAAAGTCTTACCTGAATATTTTATTTACGTAGGTTTCATTTCTATTTATAGTAAATATTTTAATAGTGGTTAGAATTTGTTTAATTTCCATTATAATCCGTTATTATGAACACTATTACGGTATACAAATATTCTGCACATTAAGGATTAGGAAGTTGTTATTATTTGTTTATATCTACAAATTATTTGTATTTATTAATACTAAAAGATAAATCTAAAGTGCAATTATTACGGTAATATTAAACAAATACCAATATGTTCATTATTATTAATTGAATGATAACTTTAGTATGATATTTATATGTATATTATTTATAAGCAATTAGTGTTTGCTTATTTGTAACAAACATTTATTCATTTATTATGTTATAACTAATTGGTTTTTCCTGTTAGTAAAGATCAAAGGGTAGATTTCACTTATTATAGTAAATCATAAAATATCTTTATAGATACTTCTACAAAAATATATTGTATTTTATTTTATGCAGTTATGTTATTTTGTATTATATAGTTAAATTATTAGCTAAATAATTGAATGTGAACATTTAATAATTTCATTCAGATTTAAGTCTAATAGTGAATTGTTTACGAATATTCACTATATTTTGTCTCATTTTTCTTGTTATCACTTAATTGCACTTTTCCATGTATTATATACTCTGTAAGTTAGTGAACGTAAATATACGGTATAAATCAGTTAAGTGAATAGAAAATTCAATGAATAGCATGCACATAAATCTCATTTTATCTTATATTAAATTCAGTATTTAATTAACAATAAACTTTTTAAAATAAGAAAAGTGAATAAATGTGAATAAAAATCAAATGTAAAACAAAACTTAAAATACTTATACGAATGATGTAAATAAATATTATTTACTTTGTTTAATATAACGAGAGTGTAGTCTATAACACATATTTTAGAGTCAAGAGAATTGGGTTTTTATATACAGAATAAGCTTTTTATTTAATAATATCTCTCAACGAACGGCAAGAATAAAGAGAAAAGTCTTGCGTTTAGTGTTGAGACATGTTTTTAATTTTTCTCGTCATTCACTTTCACTGCACTCACACAACAGGCTTTTCATCAGCAAAATTCACATTTTTATATATTTATTGAATAAAATATTTTTATCTAAGCTTTTAAGCTAAACGTCAATACAGAGATGAAAGAGAGAGAGAGAGAGAGAGAGAGAGAGAGAGAGAGAGAGAGANCTCTCATGAATTCTCTTAAGCAAAGTCACAGCTGAGAGAGAGAGAGAGAGAGAGAGAGAGAGAGAGAAATCCTTTACAACATAACTCTCGTGTATTAAAACTTTTAGTTTATATTTTTATAGTTTTAATAGTAAAGTAAATATATATTTTATAGACTTATGGCTCATTTTTAGACAAAACTAAATTTATTATAGATTTCTAGTTAAGTATTAATTTCCTATTTATTTTGAATTGACGTTTTCATTTTTTATTGTTTTGATGGTAGATATAAAATTTAGACAAACTAAATAAAAATGAATTTATTACAATTTAGTATAAATTTCAAGTAATATGTTAATATATTGTGTTTAATGTTCTTTTCCACATAATTCATTGATAATGAACAAGGTGTTTTAAAATAACAAAAATCAACAGACATTGATCCTTTCTTATAGAAATAAAAATATTTCAAACCGAAAACAAAGGATTTGTAAAAAGGTTATTTTTATTTTACAGAATTATAGATAAAATCTAAAGACTCCAAAAAACATTTTAAGCCATGAAAGTACTTTTGTTAAATGGTGCATTCTTCCCAATAATAAACATGTGTTAAAACAAAAGTTAAAAATAAACCAGTAACAAAACTACAGTAACTAAAGTATGTGAGTTATTTATTTTATTCTATATAATATTTTTTACTGTATATAAAAATATTAAAACAATAACATATGTCTGATTCTGGCATTACATAATTTGCAATAAGATTGTAATATTTGTAATAAATACGTGTTTTTGTTTCGCTTTCAATGATTTATAACTAATCAGTTGATGAGCATATAAGGCCATAAAAAAGTTAATTTATTTAATGCAATGCTATTAAAGGCATAAAAAGGAGTTTATTATAATTTATAGACATATATGATATGCGATGAGAGGAAGGAGAAGATGTGCAGAATAGGAGGGCAAATGAAATGCAGAATATTCTCTCATGAATTCTCTTAAGCAAAGTCACAGCTGAGAGATGAGAGTGAGTGAGAGAGAGAGAGAGAGAGAGAGATTTGTGATAAATAATAGGCAGACAGTGAGACGAGAAATATAATGGAGTGATAACACAATGAAATATATCTCTCACTTCACTTCATTCATGAGTTTCTTTTCAAATGGTTATTATGTAGTGAAAAGTCATATCTGAATATTTTATTATTATTTTCTCCGAAATCTAAGCAAAATGTCTAATAAATCGAAGCGAATATAATGTTCGCCAAAGAGTATTGTCTGTAAGATATGGTTCAGCCGTTTGACTGATTAATCGATAATTCATTCAAATTTTGTTGTTTTTTCACTTTGGGTTTGGGATTCAACCGTTTGGCCAGTTATGGCCTGTTTATCATATTTAACATCACATTCATAAATAAATCTTTGTAAATGTGCTTAGATTTTATATTAAACACAATTTATACAATTAATCATGTGAATATTTTTGTTATTTACAATAAAAATATAATATTAGTTGAATATTATATATTTTACTAGAATTTGCATGTTAAAATATTACATAAATAATATAACTTTTATATTTTGAAAAATAGTTTTTGAACTAATATTTAAAAAGACCAAAAATTGTGATTTACAAATTGATTTTTAATTTTTAATATAAATGCACAAAACTAAAACATGTTTTATATTAAATTTCAATATGTTTGTACTTTTCGATACATTTGCGTGAATCAGAAATTCATTTATAATCTTTGAAAATTTGATTAAAAAGTTAAATACCATATTTCATATTGGTAAATGTATAAGGTGCTTTATTAAATATATTATATTTTTTATTCTAAGAAAATGAAGAGTTTCTTAAATAAAGACAAAATAAGAAAGCAATTAATCTCTAAAACAAATTGAGACAGAAATGGACAGCCGGTGTGACTGAACTATAGGTTGAGTGACATTTAAATTTGAGCTGACATTTGATTAAAAATAAAACTCATTTGACATGTGATTGGGAGGACTGGTAGTCACATGTGTCTGACATCCCAGCGCTCTATTTATAAGGCTATTAGCTAATTATACTATATAAGGTTATATTATATATTTATTCGTTACAAATTTGTTTAATTAATTGGAAAATCATTTTAGAAATATTCTTGTTTTTATCATTTGGTAGTGGCAATAGGCAAATGTGGCATGTCTCATTCAAATACAATGTAGAACTTATAATGTATAGCAGATAAGACAAGTAGAGGTTTAATTAAAACTTAGGAGATTCCCGAAGTAATAAATAAATATTATGAATACATACCTTAGTTAATGAAATTGGCATCCAAACAAATAATTCACAATATACTGTGCATACAATTGATTAATCCTTCACAAAACTATAGCATTTAGCCATATATGATATTTATTACAATTTACATTATTACTGTATTATAATTTGAACAATGGTTACATTTTAATGAATAAATATTTAATATTTGTTGTTTAATAATTTAATATAAAATTACTTATTATAACTAGTAGTGCTAATTCATACAAATTGATAAACATTTCATATTAAATAGTTGTTTAACAAGTTTTGTTTCAAAATCATTAATTTGCTAATTTCTTAATAATAGCCTTAAAACAATAATAATATTTGTGTTGATTGAATGTTAATAAAATTCAAGGTTTTACTTTTTATAAAGTAGATACAAAAGTTATGTTACAGTATCAATAAATATCATTATAAACTATTAAGATAGTAGAAAAGGGTAATTGGAAATTAACCCCAGGTCTGTCTCACAATATAAAGTGTGTATATTTTTTATAAAATATTATTTTGAAATATAGGGAGTGCGTGCTTATAAGTTAGTAAAATATAAATACGTAATATAGAGATTTGCATATTTTAAACATTTCCTCAAAATGTAAGATATTTTTAATATATTTTATTTGAATAAATCAAAATATTCTGCACAATATTTACACGTTTGACAAAATGAATTTCATGATAAATGTTTACGATTTCACACAAATTAGATTTTATATTTTGTTACATTTTTAAGCACATCACAAATTTTTTGTTTTATTTTTATTAAATACTAACTAAATATCATACAATAAGTTAAATATATAATGTGTGAAAAACTATCATTGATAATTAAAATAGACAATTATAGAATTATATACAATTATAAAATATTTAGATTTAGACATTTATTTCATACACCATTTATTAAAACAAAATCTCATCGGATAAACGGCTTTACAGTCTTAATGTTGAGTTCAGATAATTTCGGTCTAAACAATGAATAAGTTTAAAAATATTATATTAATTTTTAAAAATTAAAATGCTTATTAGGTTGGTTAATAATTAGACATGTTTAATTAAAAATAATTAAATTATATAACAAATTTAGGCATAAAATATAAATAATATAATATTGAGTAAACAAATAAATTAAATGAAGTATTTTTTAAAATGATGTATAATTTAATAATGTATTTATTAGTATTTATTAATAATGTAAATATTGAATTTAAAGATCAATAGTGACTATTTTTAGAGAAAATGATTTCATGATAAATATAATTTTTTAGTGAACTTGTCAAATAATTATTTATTTATATATATTTTTAAAATCTAATCTAAATTTTAGATAAATTATTTTAAATGATACTAAATTTTTAAAAAATTACATACATAAATTATAAATATATTTGCATTAGTAATACAAAAGCAAGTCTATTTAAAACATAACTAAATTAAATTTTAAAAAATTAACTTATTAATACCTACATAACATAATAAAGTAAAATGTATACAAACCTAATAATTTGTTTGCAGACATATTTATAATAGATGACAATTAATCCAAATAAAAGTGCTATTATATTGATGATTATGATAAGAGGTCTGAATAGAGACATCATGTCGGGGGCCCTCCTGTCCACCACCTCAACAATCTCATCACTAGTGTCCGATTGTCTCGGTATTAAAATCAATACAATTGTTAGTAAAGTCATTACGACTATTGATAAGACACCAAATGTGCTAGAAACAATTTGATTTAAATAATATTAATTTAATAGTTATATGAGTATTAAAGTAGCCAGCTTACGTGACCGGAGGTTTAGCTCTACGACTAAACATGTATAATAGTATTGCCGTCGGCCATAGTATACTCATTAAAAACAGACCTAATCCGATACCAAACACCCGGACCATTTTATTATGTTTTGACAATAGGTTTAGAATATTATGTATTGTTATATAAAAACACATTTGGTTTCTATGGAAATGCAATGTTTTTATTTCTCTACTAAACAATTGATTAGCATTTCATCACAGGTTGGGTTTGCAAATTGCAATGAGTGTTACGCTAAAGTAGCCCTGATATAAGTTACTAAGCTTTTGGGAAACCCTAGAAGTTAATGTATTACCTGTGCCACTTATAATAATGGCCCAACACATGACCACCTGTTGAACATCACTACCAAGTCTGTGGTGCATAACAAGATTGTTTGTTTGGGATACACCAGAAAAATGTGTGGTTTGCGTTGGTAATCAAATTGATACTCAAAACAGATATAGCATCAGAATCATATAAATCAATGAATAGTTTTGATAAGAACTGAATTTAATTTAATAATTCTTAAAAATATAAATATATTTTTAATTACAATGCCATTTTTATACAATATTTAACTAACTTATTAAAGAATTCAATAACTATTTTAACAATAATGATATTTGATTCTGTTATAGACAAATTGTAACCACATTTATAATTACAAAAATATCTTGTTTATTGAATTCGCATAAAATTATAAATCTATAATTATAAAAGTTTGTTACAGTAATGAACAACTGATAAGTTTGATAAAAATATAAATAACTCATTATATTTATATATTGAAATGAGAAAATGGTTTTTAGATTTTGAAGCACTTGTCAAACAACTGGATTGATAACACATTTGCCACAAGTATTAATCCATTTACAGGTCCTAACTGTTATGATATGAAACCTGAGTTTCTTGTCGTACTCTATGAGACCATCTAATACTTCAAAGCAGTCTTCACTCACTTTATATCCTTTGCTGTTTTTAATCGGAGCTCATTTCATGTCATTTAATGTTTTCTTTAAGATGTTTGCCTTTTCTTCATTTGACGAATTGAATGCTCACTTTCAGCACTTCCTGTCCATCGGGTTCTCTAAACACGAGAACGTTGTCTAACTTGAGGTTCGGATGGGCTGTGGACTGCGTGTGCAAGAAGTTTATGGCCGAAGAGATCGAATAAAAGTATTTCTGAGACTCGGATTCACTGAAGCCTTTAATGGTTCGGTTGAGTCGCTGTTGGATGTCCTCACCGGTCGACTGTTCCTGTGCTATGTATATGTGTTTTCTGTCGTAAATAAATACATTGAAATACCGGATCACATGGTCTGACAGTCTGTCCGATGAGTTCACTTTCAGCACTTCGTTTCGCATTTCCCGGAATAGACTCCAACTCTGAGACAATTCTGGGCTTTGGATGGCTTTGAAGACAACACGGAAACCACCCCTACGTCTGACCGCAGAAAACACCTTAGAATGAGGTGGTGTTCCCCATCCCTGTCCTATGAATTCGGTCACATCATAGCCCCTCTCATGAAGTCTTATGCGATGACTACTGTCTGTATCGTCTTTGGCATTGGGTTTGGACTCAAATTTATAGCTTTCGTGGCTTTTCTTTATGACTGTCTGTCTGTCTGTCTGTCTGTCAGAGGACTGGTATTATCTCTTGTATTACTTTACGGGTATCTCTCTGTCTGTGTGCTTGACTTGAGCAGTATTTGTGTCTTAGACGCATCGAAATCATTGTATTTCCCTCTTCTCATTGGACACCATTGACAGCAAAATAGATAATACAAGAGTTCACACATTATTCTCTGCTTTTTATAAAACCGGTATTAAATGATTAGTAATTTACTAATTTTCAAATGAATTACTAAAAGTAATCATCTGGATAGTATTAGTAATTTACTATATTGTTATCAATAGTAATCATTGGAATGCAATTTAATTCAAATATTAAACAATAATTTATTTAAATCACGAGTTTATGTCATTTGATTGATTCAAATTGAATCCCTAATACAGAATCGGTGTATAAATCAAAGAATTTTTACTTACTATTTATTTACAGTTACATATTAGACTAATATTATTAGTTTTGAAATAAAATTATTAATTAGTGATTGATTGTAGAAATGTGTATATATTTAAAATCATACCTAAAAATACAATGTGTGTTATTAGTGATCACTCTGGTATGTGCGGCACCGGCACCTCAATCCAAGTCACCTGAGAAGGCAGTTCAGGCCACAGGAAGTCCTTCGTCGGAGATCTATATATTAGCGGTGTTTGTGGTCATAATAATGACTATAATGGCAATGATTGTCGTCTTTGTTTGCATTCAAAAGGAAACTAAACCTAAGGATAGGAGCGATGAAAGCAATCAAAAGGAGTTGAAAGTCAAGAAAATGACACCAAAAGCCAAAAATGGGGCAAATAATGCCAACTCTGATGCCTCCCGTTCCTCGTCGGACCACAAATATACCGAAATCTATGACTTGTATACCTCGACACTCGTGGACAAAAAGACCTGGGATTCCAAACCGACTACAAAACAAACGCCAAACAAGAAATAGATTTGATTTTTATAAAATATAAACTCAAGAAATTTAGATCCAATTGATTCCTATATTATTAATAATAATTTATTAATATTAATAATTTATTATTATTAGAAATTTTTTCATAATTAATTAATTACTAATTCTAGTACTATTACTAGTATTTTTAATAAATTATAATACTGTATTGGTTTAATTCAATAATACTGATTCTCGTATTATTGTTTATATTACTGATTATATTCTCGTATTATATTATTATTCTCGTATTACTGATTCCAACATCTCGCGTTTAATATTTTAATAGTTACATTTAGTAAATTCAAATTGTTCATTACCCTAACAAAAAGCTAAACGTCTATAACTTTTTTGGTTAAAAGTATACTTGACTTACATTTAGATTGAAATACAAATTAATAATCTCTTAGAAGATGTGTTCAAAATCTAGTATTTATATGACGACAGCAATCATCCCATTAATGGTCGGATTAGTATGCGGACCATCGGTGGACAATACAGACACGGGTGGCTCAAGGGATGGGAAATCCTGGTCCCAAAGCGCTCCCATCCTATACATCACTTTAGCGGCATTTGTTCCGGTGATCGTGATCTTAGTGTTTGTCTTGTTGTGTATATTTAGCTGCGATTGTCTCAAAAGGCGAGAAAAGTCTAAAACGAGTCCAAAGATAAAACTGGTGGCGAGTCCGGAGCGAAGGGAGGGGCCGGTGAAGAGGACACCGATATTGCCTCAAAGTAGTGAAGACGAGTCGCTCGAGAGACAGGAGTCGGCCTTTCGTGACAAACCCAATCCCTCCGCCAATTTCATATACGGTTTGTATGCCTCGACTCTGGGCGACAAGAATGATATCCACATTCAAAGACAAAAGTCCAGTTCCGACAACAAACTCAACTACAAGTCCTCAAACCTGGGGTCTGATAGTTATATTGAGTCCAAAGAGTACAAAAGCGAAACTTCGGACCAAAATATGGCGAAAAATCCATTGAAACTCAAGTCTAAACTAAACGGTCGTAAAAATAATAAGAAACCGGATTTGAAGCAAAACTCAACTAATTTGTCGCAAATTGAGTCCGAAATGGAGGCCACAGATGATAAGGAGAGACCGAAACCGGAACGGAAGGGCAGTTATGACCAGAATATTGATGAGAAAGTCCGCAAAATAATGGACGGAACCAACTCATAGACCATTGCATACAAGTTTTGGACACAAAAAGTCTTGTGTTAATCATTCAAAAACCGGAACGGAAGGGCAGTTATGACCAGAATATTGATGAGAAAGTCCGCAAAATTATGGACGAAACCAACTCATAGACCATTGCATACAAGTTTTGGACACAAAAAGTCTTGTGTTAATCATTCATTTCAATTAGTATTTGTTCAGTGAATGCATTATTAAAATATAAACTTAATTTTTTAAAACTTTAAATTAAATAACTATTAAAACAAAACTTATTTTGGGTAAAGAAATCATTTTATTTCAGTCATTTAA